AGGCAGCGCCCGTGTGCACAGCCTCGGCAGGCCCGCTGGCCGAGTTAGCGACCGACCGACCGGCTCAGCAGACCGGCGGTCCGGTCCAGATCGGTTCAGCCCAGTTTAGACCGATTGGACCGGTTCAGCATATATTTTTATGTTTTAGTCCCGGTTATTTATTTCAGTATCATTTTCAGTTAAAATTCCGGGTCCAGTTCAGTTCAATAAATTATATCAGTTCAGTTTCGTATTTAACCGGTTCCAGTTATAACGATTAAATTCGAATATCATGTTAAGTCTAGTAGAGCATCTTAACATAATTAATCAGTTAATTTATCAGTCTGAGGATAGTCATTAGTAATTGTTTATATTATATTTCAGTTTGATCAGGCATCAGCACTACCTTCATTTTCACGGATCAGGTGGGGACTCAGACTAAGTACTATATTGATTATAATTACGCTACCATGTTTGAGGTATGTATTATCAGTATCCGATCGGAATGGTCGCCGGTCCATTCTGGGTTCTAGTGGCCCTAATCTGCCTATTAGAGTGTGCACATGGTGTCCGGTATTAGTTTGTGTCGGCAGATGTTCAGTTATCAGTCAGGTGATTTATATCACGAGATCAGTATCAGATTATTCAGTACCGGTATCAGTTATCAGTTCAGTTTCAGTTCAGTTATATATGCCAGGATCATGATATTGTAATTATTTTCACTGTTTTACTTTAGTATGAGTTTCTGCGGAGGACAGTGTTTTAGTGCTCACGCCCCCACGTATTTCATGTTTTTCAGGTCACAGAGTCGGGGACGAGGAGTGAGCTGATGAGTTGTTCAGGATATTTTGTTGATATATATATATATGTTTTGGCTACACTACTATTCCGCTACAGTTTTCAGTACTTTAACTAGGCTTTTGATCCTACACTAGTTTTCGACCAAAAATGATGAATTTTACAACTTATTGTATCAAGTTTGATGTCCGCCAAATTAGTGGACTATTTTTGGAAAATGGCCAATATAATGGACCAAAAATGAAATTTGGCCGCTGTTTGTGGGATATCCTAAGGAAACAAAATGTGGTCTATTTTATAGTCCCGAGGACCAGAAAGTAATCGTTAGCACGAATGCTAGG